AAGTTATGTTAACATGAGACGATATAAATTGAGACATTTCTGTTGCCAGCAATTATTTCTATCCATATATTCTACTTCAATATAATTGATTTGAAGACTATTTATATACACTCTTGACCAAAAAAGTGGCATGTTATTGTAAAATATTTTAGACTTATTCTCCTATCCATTATTTTTCTCTATTCTTCTTTGTCACTTTTTTCTCTACTGTTGGCTATTCTTTTTGTTTTAGTTAATGTATCACTACTTTGCTGCTTGTTGAGCATATTCCGCTGTATAACGGGTCTCAAAGGGTTTTGTCCATCAAAGAACATGTTCTTGCTACTTTTTATTTGGAATAGCAAATGGCATCGTTTCGTTTGAAATGTGAACAAATCCTATGTTTTTTGGGCAAGAATTGTTTTGAAGGTTTTTCTGCGCTGAAATCTACATTTGAAAATCTTATATTTCATTAATTAAAAAAAGGAGTACTTTAGAATACATTTTTGCCAAATAAAGAATAAAAGTACTTTTATAAGAAATGGAAACACTGAAATGTTTCGAGTAAATTGAATTTAAAAGAAAATCGCAGATACATATGTATGTACATATTAACAAAAATCATAATCAATCAAAAATTAACATCAATCATACATATGTATATCAATAGGATTGTTATCCATATGGATGAATTAATAGTAAGATTTCCAATATTGTGAAATATGTCTTATGACAGGTTATCCAGAATGTGCAGACGTACATGGAGAAGTAAATCAATGTTTCTAAAATAAATAGAAACCATCTATATTGTTTGTGTATAATCTTCATTTTTCTGTATAAACAAGTTGTTTAAATTATTTGGATTTTTCATTCAAAATCAATTAAGTCTATATTTATTTTGACGTACGAATTAATTATGAAAATATGCAGTCATTGCAATCACTCATTGTTTGGACAACTATTTTAGTTCTTTGACTACGGCAGACTTTGAGACGTACCAGCCGTATCATACGGTAGGAATTTAGTCGCAACCTACACCGAGAAGAGCGAAATTTTTCGTTAGGCGTACATTTCTGAAAAAGTATGTTAAAATAAAACACTACATTAAACCAATATTATTTATTTATTCGTATTCTACACTGAATTGTTAGTGCACATACTAAAAATTTAACATTGACATTAAGCTTTTTATAACAATCGTCAAGGAGATTTATAAATAATCGTTAGGGATATATATCACTAGTCACTAAGGTGCTAAACACATAGTCATTTTCAAGTAATTAAAAAAGAGAGTATGAAAGTATAGAGAATAGTTAAGTTAATTCGTTGTAATTTACATTGTATAAGAATATATATTTTGTTACATACATCTTATTTAATATACGTTCCAAAAATGAAGTACATAGTTTTAGAACTATTCGTTATTTGGAGTTTAAAATATTTTATTACAAGAATATTTTATGATGGACAAATTTTTAATAAACTTAAATCTTTCTTGTAATAATTTACTAATGACTAATAATGTAAAATAATCTAGGAAAAATCAATCATTTTAATTACAGACAATAAAAGACTCAAAGAGCAAATGAATTTAAAATTTTAAAATTTTTTAAAATGGAATATTAATCAATGATATACGTAATTAATAGTTTGGTTAATCATATTGGAAGTACAATTTTAGCAACACAATTGTTTGATTATGAAAAGAATTTACATAAAAGTTCTTGCACTGTGGTAATATATACAAAATTTTTCATTTCGCATTTTTTATATATTTTGTACGTTTTGGTAAAAAAAAAAGATCCTGTTGAAAATTGGCATTTGAAAATACTTTCCTAAGATTTCTTCCTTTTTTATTTCAGTAACTTGTTGAAAATTCTATCTGAACAATTTGTGAATTGAACAAATCAAATGACAATTGCAACTAATGATATTTAAACTTTGTTACGTCAATCATGTATATGTAAAAGAGATTAAAATTTTATATAAAATTTATATTTAGATATTTAAATAAGATTTAGTTTTTCATTGAAAAATTTAGTCGTACAGTATATAGTATCTAGACTTATTCACACAGCATAATTTTTGTAAATGCAAAGTTAATATTCGATTAATTGATTTTCCACGTTGAATGATTTTTACCAATCTAAGATACAGTGGAAAAGAGAACTTTACACTCTTGTAATGTACGAGAGACATAACCATAGACACGATTTTTCATTCTGATAACTTTTCTAATCTTTGAGGAAATTAATGTTCGTACTTTAAATTAGTCCTCAATTCCTTCTTCGTGATCCTTCTTAACCATTTATTTCTTAAGTCGCATATCTGTTTCTGCAATTGTTCCTTTATTACTTTTATTTTCACCATGTCCTCTTTTTAGTTTCACGATGTAGTTCCATAACCAAGTAAAAGAATTGCACGTAAAAGAAATCAATGAAAATATAATATTTCTTAATCAAAAGAAGTACTATTCGTTTTTCTTTGATTTCCACATCATCTCTTATTCCATTTGAAATTGACACAGTGAACGCATACGACTTTCAATCACATGTAATCACATTGTCTCTTACAATTGTTTTCGACTATTAGTATTACGCATTATTAGTACTTATTTTATTATTACAGATAACGAAATAAATTACATTTAGAAAATAACGTCACTACGTAACGTAATCGATACAATAATGTAAATCGATATAAATATATATTTGACTTTGGAACGAAATTGGAGAAGAATAAAAAATATTGTCTGGAATTGGCTTATAGATTCATCGTCTGACTAATAGAATCATCAGTCTGAAAGGTAAAAATCGAGAGGATACATTTTCCTATTTACTTTATATCAATAAGCATCATTAATCTGTTTTTAAATTTTAAAATTGATTTGAAACATTTAATATTATTCAGTAGATTATCATTAGAGCATCATTACTCAATAAATCAAATTTATTAATACTTTCGTTAACAATTTCTAAATATCTTTTCATTTTTTTGCATTAGTTTTTTTATTATGCATTACTTTTTTATTATTTTATATGAGAATCGATTATTTTCACGCAATTGATGGCTTGCAATTAATGCTAGTTTCTTTAACATTTCTTTTGTCCAAAATGAATTTTTTCGAACAGTTCGGCGAAATTTCCGAAAACCTGACATTTTTGATTTGACTAAAAGTTTAAAAATAGTTTCATTTTGCATAAAGACAATATTTACGAAAATGGTTCTTGTCAACTCAAAAAATAATTTTGCAAAAAATTTTTTATGTTTATTTGGTCGGAATCTTGAAAATTGATTTGTTTTAGACAAAAGAAATGTTTACGAGAAGGATTTTCGATGATTCAAAAGTTAAAGTTATTTTCAAAATTCTAATAGGAAGAAACAAGTTTTTAGAAGTGTTAGCAATTCAGTTTTTATTGTTATATAATATGAGCGTTGTACAGAACAATGTAAATCATAATATGTACAAAGTGGTCTGCGTAATTTGATTATCGAATAACTATTAAAATATGCAAAGTTGCATGATTTAGAAGGGTATATTATATAGTACCTATATTTTTCTGTAAGTAGAGACATTTAGAAGATTTCAAAATTATTTCCACTTTTTTAAATAAAATAATATATTTTTTAATCTATTGATTGATATAACTCGACATTCTCTATAAAAAAATATTAATATATGTATATCAAAAAATTATTTTAATTTTAATTTTATAAAATCCATGCATGGAAGACAAGAATAATATGAATTTAAGAATGCTGTATCGATAAATTTTGCAAAATTAAAGTTGTGTGAAAATATCTACTTTGAAAAAATATTTACCATGTAAAAACTTCAGCAATAAATATAATGATGTTGATACATAAAAAAAAACATTATATTCAAGGATTATAATCGAATGATTATTATTCCTTGTGATTCTAATTACAAACATTAGAAATTGTTATAGATAGATTTTAAGAAACTCGCGATCTTTCAGATTGTTCAAATGATTCTGAGATGAATAACCATTTTATTCGTTAAGCCGTCAAAGTTTTCTTACTAGAAAATTCGCTTCGTATCTCTCTAATCCAAGGCCAGATCCTCTCTTTTTATTACAATATTTTCTACGAGACAAACTAAGTTGTTTACAGTCGTTTTTCTAAATACTCGTTGAAATTTCTCAAGTTTATTGCGGATGGTTTATTACAGACATTCGGTTGTAAATCATGGAAAATTGAGTAATAAAGACGAGCTATCTGCTTTCGAACAGTTACGAAATTGTATCGCCGCTAACAAACAAACGAAGGAAAAAAATAAAATAAAAAATTTATTTGTTCTAAAGATTTCATAAAGCTATACATATATGTATATAGCTTTTTTGATTCAAATAACTTATCTATCATGATGTGCAAATAAATTGAATCTAATAAAAATTGTTATAAAATGTTTAGAAAAATGCATTAAAACAAACAAAATAAAAAAAGAATAAGAATATTTTTTAAAATGATCTGGTAACGAAAGTATTAATATACCTATCACATAGTTTATTTGCTCATTTTCTTTTGTTGTGTAGAAATTTACACGTTATTCGTAGGCTATCTGTAATTCACTTTTAATGAAATATATATGTACAAACATGTTTGCAATACTTTTCGCATACTTTCAAGTAATTTTTCCTTATCTATTATTTGAATTAAATGAATTGAATGGTATGAATAACATTGTAGAATATAACAATTAATTATTTTCTAGAAAAAGAATCTAGAAATTCTTCTAGATGATACACAATTAATACTTGAAAAAGTATTATTTTAAATAATTATTATTATTGAAAATTTTGGACAATTAAACAAGAGAATAATCAATTTGTATGAAGCAATGAGTAAACCGAAATATACTATTTTAATTTAAGGATTCTGTACTTTCACTTATGATATTATATCTTCAAAAAATTATTGCACCATTTTTAACTGATGAACTTTCTCTTCTTTATTTAGGACGTATCTCTTTATTTATACATATCCTGTATTTGTTTCAGATTTAAACTTCGTACAAGTTCACATACATTGGAATATGAACTACAACGTAAAAAATACTTCAAGTTGTTTACTTTTTAAAAGAGCTTTAATAATATATTGTTGCATTTTTATTAAAAAATGTAGTAGCTACATTAGTAGTAACATTGTATACTGTACAGGATTTATAATGTATGTACATATTCTCTACATGTTAATTTTAAATCGAATATTTAAATTATTTCGGCTGCTACTAATGTTAAGAAAAAGTGACGATATAGAGTTTAAATGATTTCAAGGTGTGCATCTGACATTATTAAAATGATCCTATGAAGATCATCTTGAAAATTTTTTTCAAAGTCATCATAGTTTTTTTTTTGCTATCATAGTTGTAGTTGATGTCAAGATAAATTCAATATGATTGAATGGCAGTCGTTCACAAATAGAGAAATGTGGTAATTCCTTCGCATGGAAATGTTAATAATATAAATTAAAAATAGAATACGTCTCAGAGAGGATTCGTGTGGAAAAAAGAGTAGTTACACTATAATGGTATTTTTGGTCGGTTATGGAAATAGGAAAGTAAACTCTGATTAAAATATAAAATTTCTTGCCAAACTGTGTTGGATGTTTTCGATAGATTTATTTATTAGTACCATGACAGTTGTAAGAACAACCTTGACTTTTTTACGTAAAAAGCATTTTTTGAGAATTAAGAATATGGAAACACGTAGCCCATTAAATACTAAAAAAATTTTGTCTGAAACATTTTTTAATTGCACTATCGGAAATGCCTAAAAACTAGTGACAAAACTTAACGCGGACACCCTGTATATTTGCTATAACAACAGGTTAAAAGACTCTGACTCTGAATAGTCAAGTGATTCCGAAGCCGCGGTTTGTATTGTTAAAATCAAATATCTTTTTAAATATTACTTTTTCGAATATTTTACCAATCAGCGAAAATATTATAGTAAAATAGAATTTGATAGATCTGTAATTCTTATAGTAATCCCTATTTGCCTGTTTTGACCTTATTAATAGAGATGACTTTGGCTACTTTCCAGTTGGAAAGTGATAAAATCCAGCCAAATTTCGATATGTAAGATAATTGGCAGTAGCTCTTTTTAAAAACACATTTCAATATTTTATTGTTTAAATCGAGCCTTGCCATCTTTAAATCTAATAATCAGCAATGAATTTCGGGGAAAAGTTGCTCTTTAACAGGTAGGCATAAAAAACAATTACTGTTGATTGGAGATAAGACATTGGTGGCACTATTGTACACTACTGCAATACACTTGGCTAGCATACACTTTAGCTGTTTCGAAATTATTTGATAGAGTTCTTTTTAAAGGATGGACAGACAATCCTTGCAGAAGAATTATTTATGGCAATTTTTCAGGTGGATAAAAAAATGAAGTCCGTTTTCCGGAACGCATTGAATATATAAGCTTATCTTCCCTCTTATGGTCAAAGAAAAGTCTTTATCAAATAGTCTATTCTTTGCCCCAATTTCCTTAGGGAGCTTCTTTTGATTAATGCTCCAAGAGAAGCGTGCATGCGTCTAGATGAAGGTCCTTTCTCAGGTAAAGGAATGTTCTAGAAGGTAAAGTTCTAGATGAATTGCCAGAACAAGCGCTCGAATTTAGAAATCCACACAGTATGTTTATTTGATTATAAATTTTATCTATATTAGTGAAATTTTTTATCAAAGTAAAATTATTTGTCAATTCATGATAACTAAAATTATTTTTCAATTCATGATAACTGTTTCAATTGGTTAGTCATCGTGACCAATTTTATTATAAATCAGAAGAATAGGCTTGTGAAAAGTGTTGAAGTCGTTTATTACTTTGTAAAGAAAGAAATCCGGATAGTTGGTTAGAAATATATCAATTATGAATATAAATAATTTTTTGTTTGATGAGGGAGGAGGGCGAAGGTACATGATATTTTACATGCCTTAAAAAATAATCATAATACTTTATCAGACTCGTTGGCTAGCAGATTTTCGTTGGTATGCAGATGAGTGCATTAAAATTCTCATCCATTAAAAATGGGAAATCCATCCTGACCAAAGCATCTATAGTCTTTTCAACTGGACAAGGTAGTAGACCTAAACAAGTGCATGTGATCGATGCGTGCCTAAGATAGGATTGGTTTACGAGTTTCAGAACTCTGCGAATTAAGAACAGAATCGCTATAGGAATAATAGAATAATAAGGAGCAGTTCGTCCCTAAGGATCGACCAGTAATATTTGTTGCCAGCCAATAACTGCAATCAACCATGTGAATATTTTGTTTATGTCTATAGTAGACTATAAATTCTTGCATAGGTTTTATAAAATTAAAGTTAAAATATCATCTAAATTAATAATTTTTCGACTGATGTTTGCGCACATACTTTATGCAGGTAACAGGCAAATTATTAATACAGGGAACAGGAAAATGATTTTTCTTAATAAACTTTGATGTTAAGTAAGAAATGATTTTTTTTTTAATTTTGATTGATTGAGGTTCTTGGTGGAAAATTTTATAAATTATATGTATCGTTGTCAGCAATATTGTTTTTAGTCAGTTTTATTATATTTCATCAGAACGAGTCCATACTCCGTCAATCTTCTCAAACTGTTATTATCTGAAACATGCGATGGTCTTTTAAGAATCAATGTTCGAATCTTCATTTTTTATAGAGAATACATAGAAAGAAATGTCTTTATTTTTTAGATCTTTCTTGAACTTATTGAAGTCAACATCATTACAGTGAATTCTACAACTTTTTTTTTAATACGTTAGCTTTATAGTTATTAATGAATTGCGGATTTTTATGCATTTTAAAATTTTTACGGACATAATTGCAGAAATAGAATCGAGAAAGAAATTTGTTTCATTTAATAACTACTCGAATATACACAATATAATAAATACACAATATAATAAATACTCGAATTTGAATATTTACATATATATTTTTATAAATTATTGTACGGATTTTATAAGTTTTTCAAATTTTCCATAAAGTTTCCATAAATACATAAAAACCCGCAATATATATATTACTAAAGATATTTTATGAAATGTTAAAACATTGAAAATTCTGAAAGTAAACTTTTTTTTGGGGATTACTCCAAAATTTCCTCTGTCAATAACCGTATCCCTAATTTGGTTGTTTACATTGGCTTCGTAATCTCTCCTATCTTGAAAGAGAAGGCATTCAATGAATACGATTGTCGATGGGAATGTTCAGTGTATTTCCACTTCCATAGCACTATTGGTACTTCTTTATGCAACTTTATTGTTTTTGTTGTTTCTACAATTGTTGTTACTATCGTTGTTTTTATCGTTACTGAGTTTAGCTCTTTTTTAAAATCTCTATGTTAGATTCGCAAGATTTAGTCTTTTTTATTGAGACCGTGCAATCCTCGCCTTTAAACACGTTAATTGTGTGACCTTATTACGTATCCCCGAAAATGAATTTGAACAAACAGATTACATATTAATTTTGGCTTTTTATTTTCTGGTTTTTCTGGCTTTTATTTTTTGGTCAAGATCGAAAGCAAGGGATGTTTTTGTGGAGTTTCTTCTATTTCTTCAATCAAGCCTAGGACACACACTATTTAACACCTATCGGAGAAAGGACATTAAGACTATGCTTTTATAAAAGGAAAAATACTTTCATTGTTAAAATCTGTAAAAATTTAATCGCCTTTAAAATTGAAAAATTTTTTTCAATTTAAACTAGATCTATCATAATTTCGGAAATTGAAATCTTTCTTTTACAATAAGTCTTGGAAATTTACTTTACGATTTTTTTTTTTGCCATTTTATTGAATCTTGAACGTTAAACTCAAAAATTCAAGAGATCCTAACATCTTGTCATCAAACGTTCGAAGTTCGGTAAAATAGTGATAAAAATTGTACAGTAAGTTTTAAGAGGTTATTGTGAGGAGGAAATTTAGTTGTGAGTATTGTGATAGATTTAGTTCGAGAAAATTTTTTTAATGTTCTCGAAGGCACGTAAATTTTTACAATTTTCAAAAATAAAAGTTTCCTGGTTTCCCATCGTTTGCTACACGATGTAAAAATATTTACATAAAAAACTATCGTAGTCAACGCTGTCAAAGTAGAGACTATGCACTTTGAAATGAGAAGTAACTGGATTGTTATATAAAGTTTGATGAAGTTATGGCATTTTAAAATATAGACAATTTTTCAATCACGTATGCCAATACTTTCGTCTACCTCTGTTCACAGGTAATAATATTGTACTTTCTAAGAGTAGTTTTTCAATAGCGCGGATTAATAAGCTGATTGATTTATAGAAGGCAGATAATGATAAATCTTTTAGATAATTGCATCTCAGATAATCATATTTTGCAACGTAATAGTGAAATAAATATTTATTTTATTTTAATTACGATAAATAATTAATAAACGTTATACTTTTAATACTATTAATACAGAGAAATTCGATATTCTATGAGCATTATTTCGACTTATTTTAATTAAAATATCTCTTGAGCTAATGGTTTTGCGGTATAAATAGTGTAATACTCTTTTTATAGAGAATGACAAGCTGATTTGATTAGTGTATTAAAAAATATATAATTAAAATATTTAAAATATTGTATAATTTGATTAAAATATTAAAAAAAAATTTGATTTTCAAATGTCTTCTATGTATTCACATTGAAGAATAATTATATCAATCAATCTTTTGAAACCATTCAACTTTTGTTTAAACCATTTTTTGATATAAATAATCGCTCCGAAAACATTTCAGTTTCTAGTCTTAGTTGACTCACCCAGTGATTCCTCTAACCCTAATTAAGCTGTTTCCTAAAAGTGTTTCCTAAAACCGATGTCTGGAAAACAAATGAGCGACACAAGGTCTCATGGACCACCAGATGTCGATCGTTGCCATTTCAGAACTTACTTAAAATTAGAAAGTTTTAGAAATTAAAAGTATTAAACTTTATTAAACTTTATTAGTTTTATCATTAGTGGAAATTTGAAAAATATCTACCATTATATCAGAAAGTGTAACCATTCTTGTATAATATAATT